GTCGTTCCTTTCATCACACCCCTTCTCTCTACTCACACACACTCTCTCTCCCTCTCTTCTCTCGGTTCTCCTTTATCTGTCTTCTCTCTCTCTCTCTCTCCTCTCCTTCTCTCTCTCGCTTTCTGTGTATCTTCTCCTCGCGCTATCTCTCGCTTCGCTCTCTCTTTTCTCTCTCTCTCTCTCTCTCTCCTTCTATCTCTCTCTCTTTCTCTCTCTTCTTCTCTCTCTCTCTCTCTCTCTCCTCTCTCTCTCTTTCTCATTCTCTCCTCTCCCTCCCTCCCTCCTCCCTCCCTTCCCTCCCTCCCTCCCTCCCTCTGTCTGCTCTCTCTCTCTCTCTCTCTCTCTCTCTCTTCTCCTCTCTCTCTCTCTCCTCTCTCTCTCTTCTCTCTGCTTCTGTCTCCCCCTCTGTATATATGTATACGTGTATTGTAGTTCGAAAAGAAGGGTAGTGCTTTCGTCTATCTCCTATACATCGTCTCTCGTCTCTCTAAAATCTCATCTTCTATCTGCTTGTCAATTTCTGTTGCTGTTGCAATTGACAACGACGGCGATGACGCTGATGCTGATGATAATGATGATGATGATGATGAAGATGATGATGCTGATGATGATGATGATGATGATGATGATGATGGTGATGATTATACACACGGAATCCTGTAACAAAGCTCTTTCCGACGCGTTGTTGCGTTGGTAGTAGTCAGTGTGGTCAAGTAAGCGGACGCACGACAGTAATCACACACGCACACATACACACACATCACTATCATTGTTCACCCCTGACGTACTGACGTACTGACATACTGACGTATATTATAGATGTGTGTATTGTGGGATATATCTATATGGTTACTATACGCACCGGTGGAGAATGCACTAAGAGCGAACGCCGACGCCGATTTGTACGTGTAGAGGTCTTCGAGCATGTCTGGTGGTAATACATCCTGTAACATAGAACACATGCGAGGCAACCAGTTAGACACACGCACACATTAGATAGATCTATGCATACATGCATACATCACTCTAGCGGTCATACAACGCCATACAGTCACCACCGACCACACCAATAGCGCGCACGCGCTCGCACGCACACACGCACACAGGCACTTGAAACGTTTCAATAAAATATAATGCTAAATAAATACGAAATCTAATACTACTACTAGTACTACAAAATTCTTAATGTTTCTATACTCTCTTTCACCTATTATTGCGACAGTTTCCTGTCAATTCCGTGTAAATGCTCTATGCACACACACTACCGCCGCCATTGCTCACTGTGCACAGTGACTGTTAATATATATAGTATTAATATATTATATATTATTATTATATTATATTATATTATTATTATTATATTATTATTATTATATTTATTATATTATTATTATTATTATTATTATTAATTATTATTATTATTATTATTATTTATTATTATTATTAAATTATTATTATATATTATTAAAATAATATATAATATTAAACAGTCACTGTGCACAGTGAGCAATGGCGGCGGTAGTGTGTGTGCATATATTAGCATTTACACGGAATTGACAGGAAACTGTCGGCAATAATAGGTGAAGAGAGTATAGAAACATTAAGAATTTTGTAGTACTATAGTAGTAGTATTAGATTTCGTATTTATTTAGCATTATATTTTATTGAAACGTTTTAAGTGCCTGTGCCACACGCACGCCCGCGCACACACGCTCGCACGCACACGCACGCTCGCACGCACGCACGCGCATGCACGACGGCCGCGGAGGACCAACGATACCGTGAATGGTCATTATAGGGTTCAACCCCTCCCCCCCCCCTCCGTCACATGAATGATAGAAAGAGTTAGATGTAACTGTCCGGCCATAACCACGAAATTACTTTTCATTCTCTGATGTCTCGCAATTTAATCATAGCGTATATTGCAATGTAACCACCCGTCCACCATCACACTTCCTTCGAAACTATAATGTAGCGAATGTTGTAAAATATCATCATATTATGAAATATCAGTAAGAATGGCCATGGATTCATTGTTAAAGTAGGAAGTCATCACGACACGGCAACAATGACTGCCGTCACGAGCTCGTGTCAATATTTTCACTACGCCCTACGAGCGTTGGACGCAGTTTTTCGCGGCTGTAAGTGCAGTTTAAAGGGACACAGTCTGCATACATGCATATCAGGAGTAGATAATAATAGGGATGCATATACTCCTGATGCATATACTAGGTGCTCCCAGGCCACTCTAAGTTTGGCCCAGTAACGCATCTACCGGTGATTAATGGGGGTTGCACGTCCTTTAATGGAGTCTGCGCACAGCTCGTGCTGACACGTTCAGCTGCCCATGCGCACACGAATGACGTGGTTTATTTTACATAAGGTTCGCTGGAATTTACATGTACACGCAAGCCCCTGTAAAAGCTACGCCGAGAGTGCCTGAGGGTACCTTATCGCCAACCTTAGTACCAATTACCAAACCCTTGGTACTCGGGATCCCCTGGCGGCAAGGATGGTCTAGCACGCAGCCCAAAGGAAGCGGGTGGCTGGGAGGGTGGGAGTTAGGGAGGGAGTGTATGGGGGGAGGGAGAGAGGATGGGTATGGGGGGAAGGGGGGATGATCAGAGGAGCAGCTGAGTGGTGGGAGGAGAACTTATAATCACAAGCTTTCTAATTAATATCCGTAGCGCTCGAAAATTTTCGCGTAAATTTCGACGAACTTTCAAATAAGAAAGCAGAAAAACAGATTTCGGATGAATGCACCAAGACCTTTGCACTGTTTACCGTGTCGTTGCTAACGTCTGTTAAACGAAACCACGTGACTTCATCGTCCAATCTCATCGCTAGGTGATCACGCCAGACGCACACGCGACTGACGTAGTCACGTGACTTCGGGAACCAATCGGGGCATCGTCGGAGATTCGGATTTCAATTAGTTCTAGCTTTGCGTCGTCGGACTAAGCAATGAATAATACAGATATAATACATTCCAGGTTCGCACGTCGGCAGCAGCAGCAACAGCAGCAGCAGCAGCAGCGGTGGCGGCGGCGGCGGCGGCGGCGACAGTAGAGGCGGCCTGGCACGAGCCATACAGCGTCAACACACGTCGCCGGGCTGCCGACTCCTAGACTGACACCACGCGTTTCGCTGAGGGATCAGCGACGGCAGCCAAGTACTTTTGGAGCCCGTCTAGCCGGCCAGCGTGTACAGAAAAGCAGATGTTGCGTACATGTTGATATGAAGCCTCCGTGTGCGTGCGTGCGGCGTGCGTACGTACCGTGCGCTGCGTAGCGTGGTCTGTGCGTGCGTGCGTTGCGTGGCGTGCGCTTGCGGCGTGCGCGTGCGTACGTGCATGCGTGCAAGCGGCGGCTGTGCGTGCGTGCGTACGTGCATGCGTGCGTGCGGCGTGCGTACGTGCATGCGTGCGTGCGCGTGTGACTAACCCCGTCACAACCTGGTAGGATTGTCACGCCTAGACTGACTCCGTTTAACTAAACGCGGCGAATCGTCGAGCTAATCAACCTCGTAGAGTGCAGCCGCGGTGACTAGTGGGGCCAGTCTAGTGCGTGACCAAACTCGTTTACAAACACAGCTTTATCGCGAAAAATAAAAAAACTCCCCGGCTCGAAACCCATCATAATAAAACGAAATCAACTCAGCGCCGCACATCGAAACGTAGAAAAATATTAGTTCAAACAAATTGCTCGACCGAACGCATTGCACCCCAAAGAATGAACGCATATGGCATGCGGAGGCGGGTGTGTGGGGGCGCACTTTTTTTTCCATCAAACCCCGATTAAAAAAAGTTAAAAGTTGAAGGTCTCGCAGGCGCGTTTTAATCATATATGGACTCGAATATTAACATTTCATTTTTGCACGATCAGCAGTTCCAAAGTCCCACGCGCGGTGACGCACACGCGACGCGCGCCTGCGGCGCGGCGCACGCACTGCTAATGTTATCGCGTTACCGACCAACACCTCCCCCGCAACCGCACCCAATACTAAATTAGGTCCCAAGCAAACAATGGAAATCTCTCGTAACAACGGTCGCTATGGCGGTGCGCACGCGTCTGACTCTCTGTGAAACGCCGACATGAATCGCCTGCATGCTTGGCAGACGAACGTTGGTAGCCGCGGCCGTACGTTACACCGCCTGCACTCGCCGACAGCTCCGTCAAAAAAATTCACAGCACTCCAGTGCCGATGAATATTTTAAATGCGATCAAGACAGTGAACACATAATTGAACATATATCTGCATGTGACATTCGTGAGTGGGCGCACGCACATGCCATTAACCTGGCACCGGCCATTGATACGGCTGGGTTACATTCAGAACGAGAGAGAAAGCACAGGCACGTGGAGCGTTTCAATAAAATATAATGCTAAATAAAACGAAATTATATTACTACAGCAAAGTCTAATGTTACTATACTCTCGTTTCACCTATTTATTGCCGACAGATTTCTGTAAATGCCGTCCCAAATGCTCATCTGGCAATCAAACGCTGGCTGGCCGCCATGGCTTCCGCTGCCACACTGACACATAACTATAATAATATTTATGTGTCAGTGTGCAGCGGCAGCCAGCGTTTGTTGCAGATGAGCATGCATGCATGTGTGCGTACGTGTGGGTGTGACGACGGAGAGAGACGAATATCAAACAAGGATGTATTTACTCGCCCCTCCGAGTGGACTTGTTCGCGTCCGGGCCGAATAGTTAGTAGCGTTAATTAAAGATCTAATAATTAATGGCTAATTAAGAATTAAAGACTGTCGAGGGCGCGTATTCAATCATGCGGCGATAGCGAATGTCATGCGGTTGCCATGCACGCCTTAGTTCCTGAAAGATATCCTACTATTACTATTAGCCCCTAAATCTATTCCTTGCCTTACTCTTTTCCTATTCCTGACTTCTAAACCTTTCTATTCCTACTACGGAAGTGAAAATTATGACCGCTTACTGACGCAGGGCTATTAGAGAGCTATAACAACCGCTTACTGAACTGCAGGCTTATAGCAGAGCGCTATACAACGCGCTTGTACGTGACTGCAGGGCTATAGAGAGCTATAACAACCGCTTACTGACGAGGGCTATAGAGAGCTATAACAACCGCACTGACGCAGGGCTTTTATAGAAGAGCTGTATAACAACCGCTTACTGGACGCTAGGGCTATAGAGAGCTGATAACAACAACGCTACTGACCGCAGGCTATAGAGAGTATAAAACCGCTTACTGGACGCAGGGCTTATAGGAGGACCGCTATAAACAAACCGCTACTTGCGACGCAGGGCTATAGGAGGAGCTATAACAACCCTTACTGAGCGCAGGGCTATAGAGATGCATATAACAACCGCCTTACTGACGCAGGCTATAGAAGCACTATAACAACCGCTTACTGACGCAGGGCAGAGACTATAGAACGCCTTATGCGCAAGAGGCTACAACCGCTTACTGAGGCAGGGTCTATAAGAGGCTATAACAACCGCTTACTGACGCAGGGCTATAGAGAGCTATAACAACCGCTTACTGACGCAGGGCTATAGAGAGCTATAACAACCGCTTACTGACGGCCAGCGGCCTATAGAGAGCCATATAAAAAATCCGCTTACTGACGGCAGGCTAATAGAGAGCTATAACAACCGGCTTACTGCACGCAGGCTATAGAGAGCGTATAACAACCGCTTACTGACGCAGGGCTAATAGCAGAGCATATACAACCGCTACTGACGCAGGCGTATAGAGCAGCTTATAACAACCGCTTTACTGACCGAGGCTTATAGAGAGCGTGCATAACAACGGCGCTTTACTGCGCAGGGCTATATAGAGACTAAACAACTTCCCGGCTTTAGAGCTACCCGAGCGCACAGACAGCGGGGGCTATAGAGGCAGGCTATACACAACGCGCTTACTGGCACGCCAGGCGCATAGCGAGAGCCTATTAACAACCGCTTAACCTGACGCAGGGCTATTAGAGAGCTATAACAACCGCTTACTGATCGCCAGGGCTTATAGAGAGCTATACAACGCACTTACTGACGCAAGGGCTAACATAGAGAGCTATACAAACGCTTACTGACGGCAGGGCATAGAGAGCTATAACAACCGCTACTGCACGCAGGGCTATAGAGACCTATAGCAATCCGCCTTTACTGACGCAGGGCTATAGAGAGCCTATAAACAACGCTACTGACGCAGGCTATAGGAGAGCTATAACAAATCCGCTTACTGACGCAGGCTATAGAGAAGCTATAACAACCGCCTTACTGACGCATGGGCCATATAGAGAGCTATAAACAACCCGCTCTACTGACGAGGGCTATAGAGAGCTATAACAACCGCTTACTTGGACCAGGGCCTATTTAGCCAGCAGCCTTATAACAACCGCCGTACTGACGCGCAGGGCTATAGGAGCTATAACAACCGCTTACTGACGCAGGGCTATAGAGAGCTATAACAACCGCTTACTGACGCAGGGCTATAGAGAGCTATAACAACCGCTTACTGACGCAGGGCTATAGAGAGCTATAACAACGCTTACTGACGCAGGGCTAGGTTAGCAGAGCTATAACAACCGCTTCACTGCACGCAGGCTATAGAGAGCTATAACAACTCCGCTTACCTTGACGCTAGGGGGGCTATAGAGACCTATAGCAACCGCTTACTGACGCAGGGCTATAGAGAGCTATAACAACCGCTTTTACTGACGAGGCGCTAATAGAGAGCCTATAACAACCGCCTTACTGACGCAGCGGCTATAAGAGAGCTATAAACACCGCCTTACTGACGCAGGGCTAATACGAGAGCTATAACAACCGCTTACTTACGCCAGGGCTATAGAGACTATAACAACCGCTTACTGACGCAGGCTAAGAGAGCTATAACAACCGCTTACTGACGCAGGGCTATAGAGAGCTATAACAACCGACTTCACTGACGCAAGGGGCCGTATAGAGAGCTTATAACAACCGCTTACTGACGCAGGGTATAGAGACCTATAACAACCGCTTACTGACGCAGGGCTATAGAGACCTATAGCAACCGCTTACTGACGCAGGGCTATAGAGACCTATAGCAACCGCTTACTGACGCAGGGCTATAGAGATCTATAGCAACCGATTTCCACATGGTAAATAATTGGCGCTAGATCGTCTCTCTTTCTCTCTCTCTCTCTCTCTCTTCTCTCTCTCTCTCTCTCTCTCTTCTCTCTCTCTCTCTCTCTCTCTCTCTCCTCTCTCTCTGCTCTCTCTCTCTCTCTCTTCTCTCTCTTCTCTCTCTCTCTCTCTCTTTCTCTCTTCTCTCTCTGCGCGGTCGGGTTTTCTTGCGCTTCATTCTCTCTCTCTCATCTACTCTCGTCGCTCTCGTCTTCTCTTTCTCACTCTTCTTTCTCTCTCTCTCTCTCCCTCTCTATCATCTCTCTTCGTCTCTCCGCCTCTCTCTTTCTCTCTCTCTCTCGCCCTCTCTCTCCGCTCTCTTCTCTCATCGCGCCGCTCATGCATTCTCTCTCTCTCTCTCTCTCTCTCTCGCTTCTCTCGTCTCTCTCTTTCTCTTTCTCACTCTCTTCTCTCTCGCTCTTCGTCTCTCTCTCTCTCTCTCTCTCTCTCTCTCTTGATCTCTCTCTCTCTCTCTCTTTCTACGAATTTTCTCGCACAGCCGCTTTGCGCTGAGCGCTGTCCTGCGGTCGGTGTGCAGCAGCCGCGCGTGCGCATTCAACCATTCATTCAGATCACTCTCTGTCATTGATAGGCTACGGTAAGCGCTTTCTTTCTTCCTCCATCCCTCCCCCCTCTCTCTCTCTCGCTCTCTCTTCCTCACTCTCTCTCGATATAATGATCATGCTACAGGTTGCCCCGGGTAATTATGCATGCGATAATTATAAGCTCCATATATATATATATATATATATATACGTATATAATATGAAACTGAAAGCTAAAACCAGGCCGTGACCGTATCGTGACCAGACTCACGCTTGTGCACACACCTATACATGTATGAACAACGCGTAAAAACAGGAAAGGCAGATAGTGAGACGTGGAAACTGCCAGAGACAGGGAAATAAAGATTGAGAGAGAAAGCGGAAGGGAGGGATAGGGAGAAAAGAAGAGCGGAAGAGAGGACGAGAGAGATGGAGAGGGGATAGAAAGGGGGAGAAAGAGAGAGAGAGATAGAGAGAAAAAGAGAGAGAGAGAGAGAGAGAGAAAACTTGCGTCCGTGCCTTAGTTGCATGCATCCATGCGTAGATGTACATAGGTACATCATTTTTTTTATTGAGACGTTCCAAGTGCCTGTGGGAACGTGGAGGCGACCCGCCCTCTCCCATTCCCTGTGTTTGCACACTGGCCTATTTTGGCAACGGCAGCTCAAAGCAGAGCATGCCAGCTAGAGAGCACGGTTACTTACACCCAATCCGGTACCCTCCCACGCGCGCTCGCACGTATATATGCATACGTACGCCCGCACGCATATTATGCCTCTCACACACCCCACCACACACGCACGCACGCACGCACGCACGCACGCACGCACGCACACACACACACACACACACACAGTCACACCCACCCACACACATGCTGATATCACTCGTTAATACAGGGCGAAGCATTGGTCTATCCATTTATGACCGTAAACACGTAATTAAGGCGTAATTAACACGTTCGTACGGAATTCGTGCCACACGTTTGATATAGACTATGAATTGATACATAGAAACGTATATATACATACTATATACATATAGATACTACATACATATTACTTCCACGACCCAACACCCCTGTCGATTTTAAATGGGCTACCCCCACATTGACGAAAATGTCATAGGTCTCAATCTGGACATATGTTCTCTATCCTTGAACCAAACTTTGCCGTAAAATTCCTGAGCAAAATTTAATGTAGAGCGGTGCCCTTAAAACTTCCGACACACCCGCTAGGTCTACACTGAATAATTAAGGAAGTGTCTAAACAACCGGATCCGGTTTCGGTATCCTGAAAACTATACAACCGGCTCTCTTCTCTGATTGGCTAATTTTGTCACTATTTTACTTTTTATTATTTTTGGCTAATTTTATTTTATTTTAGAATTAGGAATAGGGTTAGGGTTAGGGTTAGGGTTAGGGTCTATATCCCTCACTTTCAAGTTGGTTTCAGTGGCTGAACAGTAGAGCTTTGGCTTCATGATAGTAAGGGGCCATGTTCGAACCCCATAAGATGTTTTTATTTTCCTCTGCTTTCTGTATTTCTTTGTATTTTATTTGTTTCTGCATTTATTTGTTCCGTATTCATTTATTTATTCTGTAACTTTTGTTGATGTTCGGAATTAAATATATTTCTTTATGTTTTGCATTAAAAATTGTCCTATTATATATTTGTCCTGTTATGTTCGGAAACTGACGAATCAGAGAAGAGAGCCGGTTGTTTAGTTTTCAGGCCTCCGAAATCGGGTCCGGTCGTTTAGACACTACCAATAATTAATTGACAGACTCAAGGGTCGTGGTTAGAGATAGGTTACAGGCAGGTTTATACGTTAGGTTAATACTGGTTATAACTTATGGCTAGGCTATACTATTACTCATACGTTTATAGATCTATTCGAGTTACGGAAACAAAATATTTAGAAGTTGTTTAGAATTTCGGGTAGATATAGCTGGAAGTGGAATCGTCGTTCAGTGCAGCTGATAGGGTCTATGTCCCCCAGGGTACTGCCGGAACGTACCCGGGGTACGGTCCGGTATACCGGAACGTACCCTGGTACTATCTAATATGCCGGACCGTACTTCGCCTACTCCACTAACGAGTCTATAGGGAGTCGCCTACGCCTACTCCCTAACCCTAAACCTGTTACCTAACCCTAACCATATCAAATAGTTACCAGGGTACGTTTAGGTATACCGGACCTTAACCAGGGTACGTTCCGGCAGTACCCTGGGGGACATAGACCCTATGGCTATGAGTATGAGTATGAGCTTCAGTGCAGCGGGTGTGTCGAACGTCTCACGCTACCGAAAGGAAACGAACGAATCGGTTACATAACTTACAGGAGAACGGACCAGAGTCCAGCGGTGAGGGCGTGGATCCACGACACGCAGATATTCTTCCATCGCCACTGCTCATTAGCGGCCACGACGGCCTTCGGAATGTCCATGTATCCGGCGACGCGGTTACACAAGTGAAAGAATAGCATCGACAGCAGCATCATGTAGGCGGCGTACCACGGGTCTATGATCGTACCTCCTAGCACCTTAGAACCCTCCAGCGTGATGTCGGCCATCGGAATAACTTCTAGGGTGTGATCGTCGCTCATCTTTGGTGCGAAATTCATGTTTGTTGCGAGTAAGTGGGAACAACACGAGCTACGATCGCACAGGTTAGCGACTACGGAATCCACGCCTCGCCTGCTGCTTCACAACAACAGAATGAACAGATATCGCCCTCGATCGACAAGTGAGCACACCTACACGTCTGTCATAATCCCGAGAGGCGGCGCCACGGTGTACTTGGGCGACAACTTGTGGAGCGGATTTTTGGTAGACATCGCTACACGCCAAAACATAAACAAACAATACTAAACGTCTGTGATTGACGAGCCATATAAGTACGTAAATTGTTTATTTACACGTTTATTACTGCGTTTACTTGTCAGCTCGATGTCTGATTCATTATTTAAAGTTTAGAACTATTTATGGTGATAGTCGTGATGGTAGTAGTAACTAGTACTAATCTGGCCATAACTAAGTCGAGAGTTATGTGACCTAGCCCTACCCATAGCCATGGGCGATTGTTGGACTTGCAGCCTGTATCATGCCTGTATGTTTAGCTAAGTAAACTCTGTGTGCACGGTAAACATATACGATTCATGTCCCCATTAACATCGCCATGATCCTGTCATTATATGTGTTGTAGGTTACTTAACTAAAATCTATTCAATAAATACTGAACGTGAATTACTTTACTTGAATTTATTCATGTAAATCTGACAAAATTGCACCGTTAATACTAATTGTCAACATGGTATTAGGTGGGTAAATCTTAGTTTAGGACCCTTGTACATGCATGATGCAGTTAGGATTATACAGTCAAGTTATGATTAGGATTAAGGCTATGTTTATGGTTATAGTGATGATGTATTATGGTGACGATGATGTTGATGTGTGTATAATAGTGGTTGTACATTAGGACAACCAATTTTATCTCATTTTCACTCTGCCAACCTTGACCTTAACCCTATCTCTAAACCTAATCTGTAACCCGACCCTAACCATAAGCATAACCCTATGTCTACTCCTAACCCCCTGACCCCCTAAGTTAACACTACCCCTAACGATATTCGAGGGCTATCATTAAAATCCGAGGTCCTGCGTCAGATTTGAACTCTCTGTCATCGCCGCAGGTATTGGTCCAGCGCACGAGTTGTTGCACGTTTCCACCGGAGGGCGCCGGCGGTATGATATCCGCGGATGACACGATCGCGGTTGACGTCGGCTCGTTTTGGGAGGTCGGGAACTACCGGCGGACAGTCAAGCGCGTGGACGATGGTCACCTTGCGTGTAAGGAGTTTGTGCAGATGGTGAAGGAGCGGTGCGACATAGAGCAGAAGTATGCCACCCTGCTGAAGGAACACGGAGAGAGGTGGAAGAAGAAGCTTGACCACGGTGAGATCACAGCTGGGGTGCGGTGAGGTCACAGCTAGGGTGCGGTGAGGTCACAGCTAGGGCGCGGTGAGGTCGCAGCTAGGGCGCGGTGAGATCACAGCTAGGGCGCTGTGAGGTCGCAGCTAGGGTGCGGTGAGATCACAGCTAAGGCGCGGTGAGATCGCAGCTAGGGCGCGGTGAGATCCCAGTTAGGGCACAGTGAGATCACAGCTAGGGCGCGGTGAGATCGCAGCTAGGGCGCGGTGAGATCGCAGCTAGGGCGCGGTGAGATCACAGCTAGGGCGCGGTGAGATCACAGCTAGGGCGCGGTGAGATCACAGCTAGGGTGCGGTGAGGTTGCAGCTAGGGCGCGGTGAGATCACAGCTAGGGCGCGGTGAGATCACAGCTAGGGTGCGGTGAGATCACAGCTAGGGCACGGTGAGATCACAGCTAGGGCGCGGTGAGATCGCAGCTAGGGCGCGGTGAGATCACAGCTAGGGCGCGGTGAGATCACAGCTAGGGCGCGGTGAGATCACAGCTAGGGCGCGGTGAGATCACAGCTAGGACGCGGTGAGATCACAGATAGGGCGCAGAGAGGAC